TCTTCTTCTTCTTCTTCTTCTTCTTCTTCTTCTTCTTCTTCTTCTTCTTCTTCTTCTTCTTCTTCTTCTTCTTCTTCTTCTTCACCAGGGATTGAACTCAGGCCCTTGCGCTTGCAGGGGAGCGCTTACTCTACTGAGCCATCTCCCTGGCCCCCAATGTGTTTAAGTTCTAAACATCATATTAGTACATGTTTCCAATGCATGTAGTTTATAACCATCTTGAGGAGTGGTCACATGTGCTACTACAGCCTGGTTTTTTTTTTCCTAATGTCCTTGTCTTTCCCTCCTCTCTCCATCCTTCCTCCTCTAATGCTCCAAGTCGAGTTTTCATTCTTATTAATCTTATTAATCTTAGCCATGTTGTGGTGCATTATGAGATCCCTAGGATCCTGCACATGGCATACCTTTATTCTACATCACCTCCAATTCTGTGCTTCTTGCCTTGTTCTTTTGCACAGCTGCACTTTTGCACAAGATTCATCACCAACACACAATCTTGTGGTATCTCTCTTGTGTGGACGTCAAAGTGCAAATAAAAGGAAAATAAAGGATGGATGGAAGGGGCCAGGAGGAAGCACCTCTTCCGATCCTGTTTTGCTTAGCTGTGGAGTCAGTCTGAATGATTTTTTCTGCTCTGCCTGAGTCCCCTCTACTATCAGGCCCTACAGAAACTCACTGCATGTCAGCAACTCCCACATTCCTATGTGCTGCTCTGTTCACTTGCCTGTACAATCTTTTCCTGGAGCACAGTAGGGCTGACCTCCTTTACCATCGCTTTAAAGACTGTCTCCTAAAGTGGGCCCTGCTTCTTCAGGTAATTAATCATTATTATGCTTCACTTACATGAAAACTGTCAGAATGCACATTTTTATGGTGATGACCCTCTTTATTGAAAGTTAGGTACTTGTTACTTGGGTATATAATTAAATGTGAACTAGAAATTAACTCCCACATGTCCTTTATAAATTTATTGTAATTTCAAACTTATTCTTACCATATTAAATCCATAACATACGCTTGAGGAGAGAGAAGAAGGTGGTAGGAAAATGAGAGTTACAAGAAAAAGGATTAACATGTCATGAGAAGAGGAGAACAACAGGAGAGAGAGAAAACTATACTGTAACTTTGCTTAACTAACAAGATGGAATAATTTCAAAAACATTTTTATATCTATTGATAATTTGTTTTGATACATACTAAAGAGGTAAATTTTTATGGCGAATTTAAATAACTATGTTAAGAATATAGAATAGCATCTTTAAATTGTGAATGTTAAAAACAGTTAAGTTAAAAAGGGAAAAATCAGCGGCTGGCCAAATAGCTCAGCAGATTAAAGGGCCTGCCAGCAGGCAAAGGGGTCAGGTTCTATCCCCGGGCCAGCAGTGCAGGTCCCACCCCTGGGGCGCGCTGAGACAGCCATTGACAGTGGGCATGGTGGTGCATGCCTTTAATCCCAGCACTTGGGAGGCTGTAAACAGGTGGATCACTAAGAGTCTGATCTAGTAGTGAGTCTCTGCCTGAATACCCTGTAGACCTTTCCCTGAAATACAAAGAAAAAAAAAAAAAAAAGAAAGAAAGAAAGAGAGAAAAAAAAATATATATAGTGGAATACATACATATTTTAGAACTATTTAATAATGAATAAATATTTACTGAAAACAGTTTTAAAATAGGCTAATATGATTTAAAATGATCATTTTTAAACAACATTTGCCTGTCACAGGAAAATTTGAGAAATAAACTGTTACATATTCTGCCATCAAAATGTGAAAGGAAAATCTTTTGCATAATCATATTCCTCCCAATGAAATGTTATTTCAAATTTCTAAGGCACTCAATTTTTATGTCTTATAGAAATTACTCTCATTATGTCTATTGTGTTTACAATATTAATAACAATAATGTTAGATATGAAAAGAAACTTGAAATGCACATAGTTGCATAGAGGTGTTTTTTCAGTTTGCTTCCTTTTTTGTCTTTATAGACTATGGTTTTCATACATATAGTTACTTAGGTTTTATAAATTAACTATGTTTCATTCTAGAAATTTTAAAATATGCAAATGTGTCTAAGCTCATTACTTTCAAATTTGAAATAAAATTTTATATTGCATATACTAATGTATATATGTATATATTGACGTACAAAATACATTACAAATTTTATTGCATAGCTGACTTTTTGTTTTGTTGTTGTTGATTATAAAGCAATATATACCCTGTCCTAGAGTAGTAATAATGGAAATCCTAGAAGATAAAAAGATAGAGAAGGGGAATAAAAAGTGTATCTGAAGATACAGACTGAAAGCTTTTAGAATTGGATAAAAAAAAAAAAAACATTAGTCTATACATTGAAGAAACTTAAAAAACAAAGATAAACTGAAATCTGTTCATAAACACATAATCAAACTTTTGAAATATTTAATATGCCCTATTCATTATAGGAAAACTGTTCTTAATGTAATTTCAAGTTTTTCTTTGACCACAGAGCTCAGAAAACAATGGGATGATACATTTAAAATGAAAAAAGCAAATGTCAATCAAATAGTATATATCCATAGAACTCTGTTTCAAAGCAAGAAAAACAAAAACAAAAACAAAACCCTTAAAGCATTGATGAATCTAAAATTACTGGGGGCCTGCCCCTTAGCTCAGTTCTTTAAGTGGCTGCTTCAACAAAGCAGTCAGGCTCAGGCTGCTGTGGTTCCATCCCCAGAACTCAAGCCAGCCAAACCTGCCCTGAAGGCATTTTGAGGCAACCAGAAAAAAAAAGAAAGAAATTTACCAATAAGGTTATTTTCCAATAACTCAACATAGTTGGCTTTAAAAAAATATACTTAATCAGGAAGAGTTATTGTAGAACTTAAAACAGTGTACTTCCAAACATATTGTCAACATTTTCAATCTGTTGTCATTGCTATTATACATTTGATATAAATTAGTACATAATACCTTCCGGAGACATCTCAGGCACACTGGCCACATATGGTTCATGTAGGAATTTTGGTTCATTGTCATTGATATCTGAAACTCTGATGACAAACTCAGACTCAGGTTCCACATTCGTTCCAGTCTTAGTGTCTGTTACATGGGCTTTCAGGGTGTACAGGGATTGCTTTTCTCTATCAAGCTTCTGTTGGGCATATATGTCACCTGTGTTTGGATCAATGACAAAAATACTTCCAGCTCCAACTCCCAAAAGTTTGTACTGGAAAGAGTTGTTTCCATTATCTAAGTCAGATCTTATCTGCAAGTATAAAGAGGACAATTGAGTTTCCACATTTGCTGAAAAGAACACATTAGCTTTAATTATTTTTTTAATCATTTCTCAAGTCAGTAATTCTATATAATCTCCACATTAGATTATGTGAAGTAAAATTTTGAACTTCAGAATTAAAATCTATCATCAAGCAGAGAACAGTCCTAATTTTCATTATATAAATAACTACAGAAATTCAGAAATTTTAGTATTCTAAGTACAAGTAGACAAATTCTAATGAAAAATATTAAACTTTTTGAAAAGATATCTTTCTATAAATCATGAACAAAATAAGTGCTTCCAGTCTTTTAGTGATTTCAGTGGAATTATATTCTCACACATTTATACTGTGGGACTTAGACATACTAAGGATATATAATATCTCCCAATAAATCACTTATTCAAACAATGTTTTTCATTGTCCTGATTGATAATACATTGAAAACATGGCAATAATAGAGGGAAAAAAACTAAGGGTGGTAGGTAGAAGATAACCTCAGAAATCCACTAAGTATTTATTGTATAAATGAATACTTACGCTTCCTTTAAACTCATTCACACCAGCAATCATAACACTGAGATTCATTTCATTGATGTAATGAATCATATCAGTAGTGAATTAAAGGAAGATTGGAAAACTTAAATTGTTCCAGGATCGTGTTTTGGTGTAGATATGTGATTACAGCCAGATATTAGCTAAAACCTCCACAAATTGTGCCAAGTGAACCTTTTTCCTTAATTTTGTGTGTTGGGTATTTTGTCCCAGAAACAAGTAAAAAGTAACTGAGACAACCACCTTACATTTCTAAACCAGATCCTTTGATAACCACAATTCTGTAGAATGCTTTTTAACTTTTGGTTTTTAATTGAAAATATAAACACTTGTTTCAAAGTAATCTGCTCACTTCTTAAAAGTATATTTTCCTCTTGTGCTAATATTTTCTTTTGTTCTGAAAAAGTAAATATGCTTATCATTTTTAGTTGACTGATTATTATTATTATTAGAATTTGTTTTTTAGGGAAGGGTCTACAGGATGATTAGGGTCTCACTACTAGATCAGATTAGTAGTGATCCTCCTGTTTATAGCCTCCCAAGAGTTGGGATTACAACTGCGTGCCACCATGCCCAGTCTCAACGGTCTTCTCAGTATGCTTTGGGAGCAGGGCCAGCACAGCTGGCCTGGGGATTGAACCCCAGCACTTCAATCCACTGAGATTCTTGGCTGGCCCAAGTTGATGAACTATTTAGATTTAAATTTATATGTAAAGATACAAGTTATTTTAATTTAGTGCATTCATTTTAATTTTTCATATCAATTTTTTTACATAAAGACCTCCCTCTTTTTAAAATAATGATGCCCTCATTATTGCAGATACACCTTTTCTCTATTCATCACCTCCAAACATATTGTTAAAGTAATGGCACCTCTTGAAGTGCGAAGTTCGCTGTAAAGTAGAATCTTAAACTCAGGACTTTCCAGTGGCTTGTGTTTTAATTTATGTTAGAGTAATAAGCAAGAATTTTTTGTGATTGTGGAAAAAATTTGCACATAGCTAAAACAAACAATTTAAAATTGAAATGTATTTAATATTAGTGTTACTAAATGAAAAAAAAAACAAAAATAAATTGAAGAATCTAGTGTCCACCTTAAGTTTCTGCTGTAGTTTATTAAACTTAATAATTTTTCTGCATCTGCCAGACCAAGAGAGAGACCTAGGAAACAGAACAGGGGCCAAGCCATACATTTATACATACAAGATGGGTAAGTCAATAATCCTGAGAACTATAAGCAGGTTGTGAATCTAACATTACTTGGTGGGATTCTCACCCTGTCCAGCTATATATGCTGATCTATGTGAACTGAGCAACTGCACTGAAGATAACATAGGTGGGATCATGCTTGGAATGCCTGTCATTCTGGTCTTCTAAATACACACTGCTTGTTATGACATACCATTATGGCCAGATTGTATCTCAATGAAATGTTTTTTTTAAAGATATTCCATGTTATGCCTAAGATGTTTGATATTCAGACAGTTAGCGACGTTAAACCCATCTGCATATGTTGTAGGACAATAATAAGCATCTCTTCTGGAGGGTTAATAACCTATGTTTGAAGACTAAAAATTAGAGAAAAAGAAAGGCTGAAAGAACAGCCAACATTTGGTCCTAGCCTTTGAAGGTCAATGAGGACTCAGGAATTAGGAGACCCTGTACTGTAACATCCTGTAACTCAGTTTTGCCCCAAATTTTCAGATCAAGGAGATTATGGGGCCACAGAGGAATGTGATCAATGCTGTAGAATATGCCTAAGGAGAGTCACATGGAGAGAAAACATTCTCTCAGGCTTTCACAGACAGCAAATTGGTCAAGCAATGGCTGTGACTCATCCACATGGCTGACACTCACAAAGGATCTAAAAAGTGTGGTATAGGGTTTCAGGATAATTCCTGAGGGGACTTGACTGACCATGTCAGATACAAAAGTTACATTCTTTGTTATATAGGTCTTGCTTTATCTTGGTCTTAACCATCCAGCAGAAAAGTATAGAAACGAAGTGTGAAAAGTGAAGCCATGTTAGTATTCTGAGTGTGGAAGGCTCAAGTCATCAGATTCGGACATTGTGAATCCTGTGGATAACCCACTACTACTGTGGAGTACTGGACTGTATTGGAATATTTTGATGAATTTACACACTTACAATATTTAAATGGCAATGGAATACCCATCTCTGTCAAAACTGAACAAAAAATGTGATGTAAATGAAGGACAATTTTGTATCTATATATACCAAATAGGATAGATATATAGCCACTTTCTCATATTTCAATAAAAAGAACGGTCTGTACTAATAGTTTTTGGACAGGATATCGTGTCTGCATCTTATACTATGAATGACTACTACAAAGACAACAATATGCAATGTATTAATTGTTGTAACTCTCCTACCAACCTGTTTTCAAGATGTCATATTGCAATTTTTTCCTCAATAAAATAAATAAATAAATAAACACAATATTTTTAAGTAAAAGACTAATAATCCTGACTATCTATAAAGTGAGAGAAAATTCTGTTATGGTGTCCAGAAATTTTAAAAACAGTTGACTCAACATTAAAATGAAGATAAATAATATTTCAAAATAAAAGTGTTACAGATATAATTTTCAAAATCAATTGGATTTTTGAAAAGTTTGCCTTAATACTTGTCTCTTGATGTTAAAATTGCATTTGTTAAGCACATTTTTTTAGCACAGAAAACACTGTGAAATTTGCTATGTTTCTCTTTAAAAGACATTATCTCAAATAAGTAGCTATTTTCAACTTGGCAAACCTGAATCACATGAAATTTTGCTGAATTGTACTCCTTGTTAACCAGTTTTAACAAATGAATTGCAAATAAGCTTTATTAGATACATGAGTTATTTTGTATCTTTACTACCTTTTCAATTATTTGCACCTAAGTATTAGGTTCTTTTTTGTAAACTAATCTGTATGTTATTTAAGTCCAATGAAATTGCTTAGAGGAAAAGATCTATTTGGGTGCTTTCCATAAGTATTATTTTTTAGGTTCTATCATTTTGGTAGTGGGGATTTCCCAATATATCTCTGGCCAATTTTTATTTTTTGAGACAAAAGGCACAGCATTGGCCTGGCTGACCTGAAGATTTCCTTCCTGCTTTTCATCTCCCCACAGTGCAGGGATTGCAGAGGTGCACTACCACACCTGGCTGCCAAAAATATATTCTATAGAATGAACAGGACAGGCAGCATCAATCACGAGGTCACAGAAGGAAATTGGAGAGTGGTGTAGGAGGAAGGAAAACTGCAAAACAACTGGGAAGTGTGCCAACCTCAGAAGCAGCATTTGTTGCGGCCACTTGGGGCACTTCGCTGCACCATCACGCTTACTGGTTACTGCTTGTAACCCTGTGCACTGACACTGAGGATCTCATTGCAAATGTAGTGTGACTCAGAGTTGACTGTCGGGAACTGAATGTGACCACATTTCTGTGATCTGTGCCCCTGCTTTACTCACAGAAATCTTAAAAATATCACATGTGAGGAGTAATGCTGTTTGAAACAGGCACGCATGCATGCCCAGAAACAAGTGTCTTGCATTCTGCTTGTCCAAGAGCTAAGCCTCTCGTTGAATGTGCTCATGTATATTTGGCTGATAGGATAAGTGAAATCGCACAGATTCTGGACGTTGTACTAACTGCAGCATTCTTGAATGTGCGAGAAAAGACAGTTAATAAATACTGAGTACCTTGCCCTTTGGGCCCAATTAAATTTTAGTGCTGGTTAATTAGTAGTTAAACTTAGTTCATTCATCTAGAGAAAGAGCCTTCTGGAAAAGCAAAAATAAGATATTGCAATTACCTGTGTTTAAATAAAAACCTAATAATTATATAAAAGAGACACATAAAAATAAATAAGTATCCTGTCCCATTAAGAAAACTTTCTTAAAGTATGATATTCTGAAAGTGAAAGCAATTATTCTTTGTCCCTAAACTTCTCTAATCACATGAGCTATTTAGGCTCCTGAAGCTCCTTTGCTGTAAAATGATGCAGTATTAATTTGCTTCTTTAAAAATGAATGAGGGGTTGATCAACAGCTACTTAACAGAAAATCTTACTAAGCATTGTTGAATATTAGACTCAATCTGGCTCCTTTGACCAATTACAAAAAAAATAGCATTAAGTTGTCGAAACTGATAAATGAAGATAGCACTCTTATAAAGGATACTGAAGTGGGGGGCAAGGAGATAGTTGAGTGGAATAAGTGCTTGCCTGGTAAGTGCAAGGTCCTGAGTTTGATCCTTGTTACTCCCCTTTCCCCACAAAAGAAGAATACTGAAGCGTAATTTCAGAACCAGAAATTCTCCTCTTCCTCTTAATTGAATTGAATAGTTTAGGTCTTTCCACATCTGAAAATTTAGGCTTGTGTTTGAGAGTTTCAAGTTTTTTTTTAAGAAAAAAAGGAATTCATCAAGCACTAAAACTTCCTTCACTATTTATGTGATAGCGAAACACTTAAAAAATAAGTACCCGTCCAATGAGATGCTTAGTTGAGTTCATTTCCTCTGGTACAAAAAATTGTTTCCACTCCCAGCCACGCTTCATTCTTAGGTGAGATCCCACTGGTTGCTTAACCTTCTCTGTTTTAGAGTTTTCTGTAGCCTGAAGACAAGGCCACAGGAAAGGAATTCCCAGCATAAAAGGTAGGAAGATATAACTATCCATTCTGATGTCTTGATTCCAGCTGTTACTCTTCAAAGGAAACAGGATGTTGAAAAAAAAAAAAAAAACACTTGTTTTCCTTTATAATCTTTTTTTATACTTCAATGTCTTTTAAATTCCTAAAACATAAGAAATAAAACAAAAATTGACACAAGAAATACCATTAGTAACATAACTGATAAATACAGGTAACAACTTCTGTGTCTGAGACAAAATGGAATAAAAATGTACACTTAATTTATCTTCCAATTAAGCTACTTGATTCTATTTTGTAGCTCATAAGCAATTTGATTAGAATGATTATAAGTTTCTGCTCAGGCATCGTTTATTTTAAATTGCAGTCTTAAATCTGCCTGAAGGTTTAAAAGTTATTGGAGCAATCTCCTTGATTGACAGATGACATTGAGAGAGAAATTTTTTATTATTGTTTAATTTACTTATGTTCTCTTTCTGTCTCAGGAAAAACTCAAGCTAGATTGTTAAAATAACAGTCAATCTAGGATCAATAAAAGTCATATCTGTTTCCTTTTCACTCAATAGAACTAAAATTTCTCAGATAACCAAAGTGCGATATATTACACAGTTAGCTAAATGGACAAATAAAATATTAGGTTTAAAATCTTATACATATTTAATTAAATGAGAAGAAAGATTTGTATTAATAGTGTTTGGACAAGATATCATGTTTGCATCTTGTACTATGAACAACTACTATGAATACAACAATATGTAATGTATCAATTATTGAAACTGTCCTACTAATCAGTTTTGAAATGTCTCATTGCTGTTTGATTCTCAAAAAATTAATAAAAAATTATAAATATAATAATAAGTTAGACTAACATATTCTGACTAGAACATCTATGTAATATATTCACTTTTTTATAGTCTGCAAGACAAGGATAAAAGCATGTCTTTAAGAAGTAAAGATACTTTTAAACAATAAATACAAAACTATGCTGCTTAAGTAATAAAAGATGACTCAATGTTCACAGTATGTGAACTGGTTATAAAATCCATTTTATACTACTATACCAAAATAGTCAGATTGCGTGTTCCATTTAAAATGTCCCACTTACCTAAGGCAGAGCTCACCAAGTGTTTCTGCCAAAATTGGTGATTCTCATCCTTGCATCTAATTGAATAGCTTTGCATTGCCCACATCTACATAGTATTCACATAAAAGCAAATTGGATATCTTTCTTTGGCTTTCATAAAGAAAAATAGTTTGCTGCATTCCACAGTGTTATTGACCACCATATTATCAATAGTAAAGTCATAGCATCTCAGATTAGAAGTTTCTTTGCAAAGTCTTGTTTTGAATATGCTGAAAATATTTTATAAGTATCTCTTGAGAGAATATTTTTTAGAATTTAGATGCTTGTTAGGGAGAGTTGCTAAAAAACCCTCAGTAAAAAAGAACATGGGCATTCTCTGTTCCTTCTGTAGTCCCTTGAAGCATATATATTCTGTTACTAATTTAGTTGGTGAAAGTCATTTGGAAGGTGGTGAAAATTTAGGATGAATTTCATCTTTAAGTTAAATATTTAAAATGTGTATTTCTATTCATTAAGTATCTCTAAAATTTGCATTTTGATGACTAAGAATTTTCTTTAAGAGTAGATGCCTTTATATGCTTGGAAATCTATCCTCAGTGCTGATATGAAATGTATTTATTATACATCAGGAAATAGCATTTCTTTTAAATTAATTTTATGATACTTTCATACAGCTAAAAGTAGAGACAGTATAATGAATATATGTGGTTTACTACCTAGGTCTAACAATTATCAAAATAAGATCATTCTCATTTATCCACACAGGGGCATACTTCCTGATAGTAAAAACAAAAATTCTTATGACACTCATTTTAAAAATTTAAGACACATATACATAAACACATGCATACACAATCAGGTAGACTTTATATACTTTTGTATGTATGCACTTTACAAAATAAATTTCAGATGGCATAGTGGAGCACACCTGTAATCCCAGCACTAGGGAGGCTGAGGCATGGGTATTGAGTTAAGTTTGAGTCCAGCCTGAGTCACATAGTAAAGTCAAAATCATTTGAACTATGTAGTGATAGCCTGTCCCAGAATATCAAAGTGAAATAAAATTAAAAAGTCAAAATTAAGCATTCAAATTATCAATAAATGCTGAATATGTTCAAATATTCACTAAGTATCATTTAATGCATCAGCTTTCTGTGTTTTTATTTTTCTTTTCAATTACATAGTAAATAAAATCATTTGTTACTATAGTATATAGCCTGCATTTAAATAACTGGATCCCTATGGTGTGATTTGATACAGTTCTTTGTGTAAAATCTTCCTAAAATCTTCTAGAGGCTTGATTAGAAGCAAATGAAAACACAATATTTAAGGAGGTTGGACCTAGAACATTGCCAAGATTCAATGAAATAAAGCAAAAATCATCCAATACCAGAAGGAATACAGACCTGTTTGATTCAGATGACAAAGAAAATAACAATGTGTGTACATATTTGACTAGTTGAAATGTTACTAAATAGCTATGTAATAAAATGGAATGATGTTAGAACTAAGAAAATATATTGAAGGTCTTGGCAAGGGTGAAAACTATTGGACAGAATGCAGGCACTGCTCTTCAAAGTTGTAAATGATAGCAGATGAAACACTACAAGATGCCATGAAATATAAGGGCTAAAAAGCAATTCCATATGCACAGTCCTCTACCTAAACTGAAAACATTCGTAGATCTTCCATACTTAGCATGGATTTTGCATGGTGATCACAGGAATATAAAAGACTTGTGGAAAAACTGGATAAAAATATGGCATTAAAAATTTATGGGCCAGGGAGATGGCTCAGGGGAATAAGGGCTTCCCCGGGAAGCGCAAGGACCTGAGTTCAATCCCCGGTTCCACAAAAACAAAATTTATGCCCTTGTACATGGTAAGAGTATTATGCTTTCAATTTAGACATTCATACATTTATTTTGGATCTCTGCCATTAGGTCCTTATTTGTATAGTAATAAACTGAAGGAAACTGAAGGAAGAATATAATAATGAACGGACTTGCTGTTCCCATCTCCCAAACTAATTGGAATATGAAATTTGATATTTCGTTTATCACTTCACAATTGATGTCACATTTGCTAACAGAACACAAGTCAACCAGCACTGCAACTGTATACAGGCACAAACCAGAAAATCCAAATGAAATGCTTTAATTTCAAAACAGAATTATACACTACTGTCATGGGTTTTGACAGATGTTCCTTACAGCCTCTGAATCCCATGGCAGACAGGCTTTACAGCGGTTACTGAATCTATGGTTTGTGATTGATTCACGGTCCTTACCTGCAATTAAGGGTGTGAGTGCTGCACTCATCTTAGGGTGCATAAGGGACAGAAAGAGGCTTCTCCCTTTCCCTTTTTGCCCTTATGGTGCTGTGAACTGTTTCCTTCTGCTGTGTGCCATTCTGCTTTGAAGTCAACCTATTATGGGCTGAATCTTCTACAAGCTAAACTAAATAAACCTTTTCCCTTTTACTTTTGGGTGTCAGGTGTTTCATACTCTGATCTGTGTATTGAGACCATGTAGACCCTATAGACCCTGTACCAAATACATTTAAAACAAAAAACAAAAAACAAAAAAGAAAGGAAGTACCAAAGCAAACCTAAGGATCAGCAGAATAGATTAGAAGATACACACACAACTCCAAACACATTCAGCCATCTTCCCTTGGAAAAAGGGACCAAATATGCTCATGTTCATTAATAAATGGTGCTGGTGCAACTGTCTTTCTACATGCTGAAGACTAAAACTAGACTTATGTCTATCACCACACACTAAACTAAGGTCAAAATTGAACAAAAATTTAAATATTGAAAAAAAAAACACTAAATCTACTAGAAGAAAAAGTAGGCAGAGATCTTGAAGACACAGGTGTAGGCAGAGAGTTTATGAACAGAACCCAGACTACACAAGAAATACTTTAAGAAATCAAAACTCGAATCTCTTCTTATTAAAAAGATTTCACACAAAAAGAAATCACGAAGAGAGGGGTGATAAAAACCGGTGAACAGAGAAAGCATTTAGCTGGTTTACACTCAGACCAAAGACTTATGTCTAGAACACATAAAGAACTGAAAAATGTCAGATTTCCCAAATTCAAAGACCCAATCCAAAACTGGGCATCTGAAATGAATACACACTTCTCAGATGAAGACGTACAAAGGGAAAATAAATACATAAAAATGTTCGACAGTATTTGTTATTCAAAATACACAAATTATAACAATAGAGTCCATGTATTCTATAAAAAAGTCTATACCAACAAATCAACCAATAACAAATTCTGAAGGAGCTGAGGGGCAAAAGCAACACTTCTCCACTTTTGGTTGAAAGACAGACTAGTGCAACCACTGCAGAAATCAGTATGGAGATTCCTCAATAAGCTAGGATTAGAGGACCCATTTGATCCAGCTATTTTCCTTCTGTGTATCTTCAGAGAGGGAATAAAAATATAATATCGTAGAAATATATGTGCACTCATGTTCATAGAGGCACAATCTATAATAGCTAGATGTTGTAAATAACCCACATACCCATCAACCTTGGAATAGAAAAAAAAAAAAGACGTGGTCTTTTATACAGTGGAATACCTCTCAGCCCTAAGAAGGATAAACTTGAGACTTTCATAGGTAAACAAATGCCACTTGAGATCATACTCATAAGTGAAATAAAACAGAATTGTGTAAAAAGGGTATTGTCTTGGTGTAAGAAACTGAAAGAGTAAATAAGGTCCAAAATGCAAAACACATTATTAAATGGGAAGACATTGTTTGAAGAAAAAGAAAGATGAGAGAAAGGGAAAAGCAAGAAATAGCAAATGAAAATATGCCAAATTCATTGCAAAGGTAAAGGTGTGTAGTTCACATAGCCTCTCATGCTGAAGCTCAATGTTACCTAGAGTTATTCATACTTTGCTTTCAGTGCCACTGAGATAAGTTATGATGCTAAAATTTGTTGCTTAATTC